TTATATGCAATTTGAATACCAAATTTTAATACTTAATTCAATAGATATATTATAGAAATAGACAATATGCAAAATATAAAAATTCTATGAATTTAAAATCCATTATATTTTATAATCCTACTCTACAGGTCGATTTCAAATTTCAACATAGAAAAAATAGTACTATGTTATTTTCATCACGGGGAATACATATTTTGAAAATATTAAATTATGTATTTAATTTTTGTTCTATTATTGGCCATAATAACTCGTAACCAAATGTATCTTCGATTTAAATAAATTTGTAAATACATTAATGAAAATAGGTGGATTAACTTAAAAATAAATATTTTAAAATATGTATAATGTATATGGCTGTTGGATACGCAACTTAAACTTCATAAAATGCATTTAATGATTACTTTTSAACGAATTATATACACGTGTTACAAAACAATGTTATACAATAGTTAAACTTTAAGACTTTAAAAGTTTAAAATCATCACGCAAAATCAATTCGTTCAATTYAACTATACTATTTCAACAGAAAACTATAACATAACGTGAATCCTCACGAGTATATAAGTATATAGGCACTCCAAGATCCAAGTAGGTGCAATAATGTTTCGCGAGACGTACGAATATACAAACGAAGGACGAAAAATATTTTGCGTTTTTTTATTTCCTGTTGCGATACGAAAACCGAGCACAATATTGCAGTCAAGATTATAATATTAAATTGTGTTTGAAAATATGTAACGTGGCCGTATGCTGAGGAATAACTTCCGCGTAGGTGCAGTGTTGGCGGTTCTACCTACCTACTATACGCGTCTTATTGTAATAAATTAAACACAACTTACCATCTTCATGTYGACGGCGCGAAATAGTCTGTGTGGTGTGTTGTACTAGGAGTCGCAAGTCTTTGAAATCCAATAGACGACGATAACTGAACTGACGATGGATCGGTAACCGACGTCTATATATATGACGATGCGTCGGGGCGATTGCCGAATAGCAGCTAAGGTATACGGTTAACGCGCGCGAAGGAGGTGATGTTCGGCGGCGGCAGTGGCGCTGCCCCTACCCCGGTGACGCCCTGTGGCCAATCCGATTTTGACATGCGAAGAGAGTAATGTAATTTTTTTATTACGATTATTATTATGATTATATTTTATGACGTGCCGCCGACACGACGACTTCGGCCAAAGACTAATTAGAACGGCCGCCGTGTGTGTGTGAGTGTGTGACAGGTGTAGGACGATAATATAATAATATTATATATGTGCGTATCAATACTGCATAATATTCTGCCTTGATCATCCGATTGATCAATGGGTATATGATGCCTGACGACGACAGCTCATATATGACCCAGTTCGATGCTGCTCACGATGATGACACCTGGACGATTTTTTTATGATTTACACGTACACCATAATATAGTAGGTAGGTACTATATACACCGCACGCGTGTTAAAGGATTGCCTCGGCCGTGGATAATCATAATGATATGATCGTCGACGCATTCCGGTAACGCCGAGGTGATCGATAAAGTATTCAGTCGTATATCAGTCATGGCTTGGTGTTTCAGAACGTGGCTCAGATAGTCAGAATCGCCAAAATATGTTACCAAAAATAACAGCCTTAATAATGATCTGGCGGCCCACATAATATTATTATTTCGCCCACGGCTCCTGTCGACCGGAACACGCAAAAATTATATTTGTTTGTATTTTTATTTTAATTCGTACATTAAAACCAGCCAAATCATTTATAACGATTRAAAWAAGTTAATTTCAAGTACCAATTGYAGACCATTTATCGASTTTTCGTGAGGTAAACAAATCATAACATTTACWCTATTGCTAATTTATTTATTATTTTATCATTTTCTGTTTTTTAATTTTTAACGAGTGGCAACATTGTATAATAATAATATTTTAATTTAATATAATTTATTGATTTGACGAGAAATTAAAATGTTGACGTTTTGATATTTATAAAAGATTTTGTAACCATTTTTCTTTTTTGGAGTAGGGCATAATACAAATGCAATATAAGATATATAAGTAAAATCATTGATTATTATTACTRGGTAGTATTTATAATCAATGGTAAAAWGTTGCACAATAAGGATGATTGAAATGAAAAATAAAAATGCAATATTGTTGCACACCGGTGGCTTTTCTAAAACTTATTTCCATTAGAATGAATCTGATTTCGTATAAATGCGTTTAAGAAACCGGTTACATTAATAAAATATTAAATCAGATAATATGTCAATGTATGATAATCGGTAATATATAAAAACGATGATTTAATACCATAATATTATAATATTGCATGAAATCGGTAGTTTCCGGTTAAATAGTCATTGTCCTGATAGAAATTCTTAAGCTGATCAATCCCGTGTGCATACTATAAAGCATAAAAACGAATCTGTTTGAGTTTTGTGTACATCAAAAAGATTAGTTTCCACCCATTAAACAGATAAAAAACACTTTTTCGTGGAAATACTAAAATATATGAAATTTAAGCTTTAAATTTTTGGGAAAATATAAATTAATTTAAAGGTACATAATATTATATTATATCATACTATGTAAGAAAATAATATTATTGATATTATAAACATGAGCACTGATCACACACATAATGACTGATAATAACTTCTTCGAAGCAGCTTATATGTAATAGCTGTAGACATGCCATATTAGCAGTTGGTGATTATCCTAATGATTGCTACCACATGCGTATAAAACTATAGAAGTACCAACAATAGTACTAACGTCTTTCAATTAAGATATTAAGATCGTAAATAAAAGAAGACTACATAAGTCATAGGCTAATTTTATTATTATTGTCGACCGGGCAAAAACAAATTATTTTAACAGACACTGTAATCGTTGAGCCGAACAAYACGAACAATAATTCATGTTTCACATCGAAATAATACCTAAATAATAGGTCTTTTTTCAAATTACCAAAAAACATATATTTTTACATTGACGATATAATGATAAATCATGGATATTATATTCTTTCAAATCAGTTTGAATATAATATAGCCGTGGTCTTCAATAAATGTATTTGATCCCTCTTCTCGCTTAGCTCATATTATATCGGCGAAGGATTGTAGTATTGATCTGTACTTATAGGTAAGTAATAGCTATCTATAGAATTTGAAATAAAAATGAATCGCACTCGAAAAACGACCCTCAGTGGAGTTTAAATAGATATTTGCAGATTTTATTAGGTACGCTTAGAGATACTAGATTGAGAAAATCACACTTTCAAAATATCACATCTTAATTAGGGTTTTTATTTGTAAACTCTAATGCAACTTTTGAAACACTCCTCTGACCTAAAAATTATCACTGAAAAGTGTAAYGAAAATAAACATTATTGTAAGATTACGCATACCTACATTACTTTAATATATATATATATAAATAACATAATATATATATTATATAATATTTAACTCTTGGGCTCCGCTAAGCAAGAAAACTGATAACTTTAAAGGGATAAGATTCGGAACACAATTTTAAAACCACATTACAATTATTTCATTAAAATCTAAAATAATTGTTGTATAGTGAGAACAGACTATTAATATACCTTAATATACAAATACTCGTATTTACAAATTTAATAATTTCAATCTTATACAGATATATAAAAAAAAAAAAAATGGCTTAATGTGTTTTTATTGTAAGATATAAAATTACTTAGAAGATTTTAGACAAATTACTTACTAATACAATTTGTTTTTAATCGTCTATAACCGACAACTTCACATAGATATACGCATATTKTAGTTTCCTATGTATCATTATCAATCAAGAATATTACTCATTCTTCCGGCACAATAATATTGATCAATGGCAATTACATCGATGGTTATCATCACTGACATAAAAAGCTTAAGGATAGCATTGAACAAATATTACAGGAATGGAATGTATTCAAATTRTATTGATTATTGATGATGACGTAATATTACTTATAAGATATATTTATAGATAGTTTTAATTACTGTTTAAAATTAAATTAAATTCAGATGTTGGAAACACACCGAGATGGTGACAGATCTAAAATGTTTCAATATAAAAARATGTTCTTTACTAATTTATAATTAAAGCATAGAAAAATTAAACATAAATCAGTTCAAAAGTTACCTTCAAAATAACGTGGTAAATTAATCAATAATGTATCAATCTTGGATATATTATTTACTACAATATTATACAATAATAGGTTTAAGGTTAAAAGTTTCAGTGCAAATTTTTAGATTCTGAACGAAGTGATGAATGTATTGATTTTACAATGATGTGTGTTTTTTTTTTTTTTAATATCATTTACTCAACTCGATATGGATAGTTTACCGTGAAAAGTCGTGACATAAAAAAATTAATCATTAATAAACACTTATAGAATTATTTTTGATATATCCTTCTCGACCATTCTCTGTAGATCGAAGGTTTTAATTTTTAACATSTTATGCTTTTAAAAACTAAACACATCATAACAGCAGATATAGTTAAAACTTAAAACACACTTCGCACAACAAATCAAATACAACCATTTCGTATTATTCAAACGATACACTTTACATTCATATGTATTATACATATTATATACTCGTATATAGGTACATATACATATATAAGCTTAACCACAATGTTATATTATAACAAATCTTTTCTTTTTTTCTTTTTTTTTATTTAAGCCTCAACAATTAAGGTTATTGGCTAGCATCAACGTTAATAAAGATATATTGATACATTATATATGGTTGTAAAGTTTAGTTCTTTGTAGAAATGTTATTATGTTGCTGTAGCTTTCAAGACTGGGTCCAAGTGCTCCATATAGATGATCCGGAATGTTTAGGGATGTTAACAAATCTTTTGTCATATTATATTCTGTCAATGAACTTAATTCTTATTTAATTAATTCAAGAAATTGGTATTATCTCGTTTTTCTAATTGCTTTAGTGCATTTTTATGATGTGGAGTTTTTACGAAMGTTTAAAAAATTAATGCATGCAAATTTTAAAATGATGTATTTTTTTTTGTATAGCAGTATTAATAGGTTCATGATTATAAAACAATACATTGATGATAAATTCATAACAATCCACTCTATAATTTATTCTACATAAACGTCGAAAGTTCAAGAGGTTATACTATAACACAATTTTTACTATGCTATTAAGTATTATTTACCTAAAACTTACATCGGCCTTGAATAATGTTACCAAATTGAGAATTGTTATCTATTTAGTAAGATCATGTTTTCACATTAAATCTTCCAAACATAAAAGCTAAGTAAAGTAATTATTAATTACTAAAGAAAAATAAATGTATAATAAAAAAGTATATAATATGTACAAGGCAACTAAATTATAATACAATTCTGTTTAATTATATCAATTCGATTACATTTATATTACAGCTTTTAATTGTTGTAATTATAAACTTAAGTCTATTAAGCTACATTTAAAATAAATATTTAAATWCGTTTTTTTAAGTTCTAATTCCTTTCAAACATTTGTTTGGTTAGTGTTTACGTTATACCTAAATAATAMACTTTTGAATATATGTATAATTTACCACTTATAATCTCTTATGATTTAAATGTTAATCTTTCACATTAATTTCGAAACATAAATAAACTTATAATTATTAATGGCGTTGAGTCATTTAAWTACGAGATATTATAATAAATATATTATGTTAAATAAAAAAACAAAACTAAAAAATTAAGAACATCATTGAACTGATTTTATTATTTCAAATATAGAACTTGATTAACAAGTTACCTATTACCTACGTCCTACAGACATTAGTTAATTCTAAGATACTTAATAATACTTACATATTATGCGAAACACGTGACATAAGTTTACTGAGTTACATTTTTAGAACAGAGAAATGATAATCATTTCCCGTCATCAACTTACT